TGCCGAAGCTGCCCCCCAGGGCCGGCATCCCCCACAACGGTTCCCATCACCGTGCTCTGCGCTGGGCACAGCTGCTCCGAGCTCCTGCCAGCCCCTGGCCGAACAGCCGGGCACCCAGGCACCGACAAGCCTTGGGGGTCTTGGTGAGCAACCCCCCGACAGAGACCCTGCCCCGTCCCGCTTTCAAATCCCAAGATGCAAACCCTCCGTTTCCTCCTGCTTTCCCCTCTCCCTTCTCTATTAACCGAATTACGCACGACACATCGGGGAAAGGCGCTATTTAAAGAACTGCCTTTCCAAAAATAGCACCCTGAAGTTGGCCTCCACAGACCATGCTCAGCCACCAAAATAAGTGGCCTCATTTCCAAAGAGCCCAGCAGCCCCGTGGCTCTCGCTCACGGCTGGGCACGAGGGCTGGGGCACAGCTCAGATCCCACCGGAGGGCACACACCCCCCGGACACCACGTGCCTTCTACATCTGTGGCATCTCCTTTTACCCCCAGGGATGCTTTGAGCAGGAGGGATGGCTTGTCCCTTCCTCCAGCCCCATCATAATCGCGCAGGGATGCTGGTGTCAGAGGGGGAACCAGTTTGAGGGTCCCCTGGGTCTTGATCTCCGGCAGGATGCGGCCCAGGGGCAGCACTCCTATTTGGGAAGGATGCTGAAAATGAGACCCCGGGGTGGCTGGGTACCACACTTTGGTCCCCGACCCTGCTAACCCCCTCCTGCACAGAGCAGCGAGACACAGCACGCAGAGCTGGAAAGCAAACAGCTTTTTAAACCCGTGTCCTTCGGGGCTGGGGTGACACCCACCTGTATTTCCAGCTGCTGTACCACTTGCATCTGGACTCGACACTGGGCCGTGCTTCGGTCGTCAAGTGCATGTTCTGTGTTGAGGTGTCTGGGGAGGAGAACACGGGGGTTTACGCCTGGACGTGCCCAAAACGCGGCCCCTCCACCGGAGCCACACCTGGGATCAGCCTCGACCTGCAAACCGCCTGCACCGCAGCAACGCCTGGGGATGGCGGCGAGGCGCTGCCCGTGCCGGGGATGCTCCAGCTCTGCTGCCCCAAGCAGGACGAGCAGAAGGGAAACTGAGGCAGGAAGGCAGCCAAGCAAACTGGGCTGTGCCCTCTCCCCAGACCAGGGCTGGAGGGCGGCTGTAGACAACCAGCCCTGCCCGTGGCAGCCCCGCGGGGTTCAGGAGCAGCCAGCGGTTGATGGAAAGTCCTTGTGAAAGGCTGGGGGCAGGAGGTGCCTGGGAGGACCTGAGGAGCTGGTTTCCAGGACAAAGGCGGCATTATGAAGGTTTATTGACACTCTCTAAAGGAAACCCCCAAAGGCGGAAGGTGACACTTCCAGGGCGCTCCCCATCCTACCACTTTTCTGCCTTACATTTATAAGGCATTTTATGTTTATAAAGCGCAAGGACGCTTGGTCCTCACCACCCTCCCTCCTTCTTGGGGAGGGGAAGGGATCCCGCTGATGGGGACACTGCTTGCTGCAGAGCCAGGGACACCCCAGCATCACCTCGTGGGTGTCCTCGGCCCTGGAACCAGCAAAGCAGCAGCCTGGGACGCACCCAGCCCCGAGGATGTCCCGCGTCCTTTCTGGGGTGGGTGCAAACCCAGGGGGGTCCTCACCGGAGGCGTGGGACAGGTCAGAGGGGGGAAGCCGGGCGGCAGGGCAAACTGTGCCAGGGCCACCCCAGGAACACCCCGAAAGGTGGAATTTGGAGGCTGGGAAACACCCAGGTGTCCCATGGCCGTGGGTCGATGCTCTCCAGGACCAAGCCAGAGATATTTCTGCTGGGACATCCCAGGAGAAGGTGCCTCAGGAGTATCCACCCTGGGTCCGGATGCAGCAGATGGCAGGAGCCTCACCTGGCTGTTTGTGAGAGACTTCCAGCCCCAGCTTGCAAAAACAAGTTAGGTAACCGGGACCAGCTGCCAAGCCCGTATGTGAGCAAACCCCGCTGGTGAAAAAACCCCCCGCCGGGCTGCCGCTGCACCGAGCCGCCCGCTCCACTCCCCGCACGGCAGACCAAGGGCTGTTTCTCCAGGGAAAAAGCTACGGAAAGGCTAGGCTGTGCTGAGCGGGAACGGAGACATCCCCCACCGAACCTCCCAGGCTTTTATAAACCACTGCTAAAGGACGTGCTGCCCCTTTCCACCCCACTCCACTGAGGTGATGCTCAGAGGAGGCTTGAAGCCGGTGCCTGGACCCAAACCAAGGTCCATGCTGCAGCTGGGCTCAGCTTTTGGGAGCTGGAAGTTTTCCGTCTGTCTGTCCCTGACATGTGCTCATGTTGGCAGAGGGGGGACAGAAACCCTTCACTAGTGCCGTCGGGGAGGCTGAGCTTGCTCCTGCAAGCCGCAGGTGTGCTCAGGGGGGCAGGCAGGTGGGATGCAGGGACCCCACAGCCCCAGCCATCCCCTGCCAAGCCCAGCTCCAGCCTCCAAAGCAGAGCTTGCTCATCTGCCCCGTGCCATGGAAACATGCCCGGAGAGGCAGGAGGAGATGCCTTATCTGGGTTCAGCCCATGAGTCAGAGGCAGAGTAAGGAGGACGCGGGAGCCTGACTCATTCACTCACTCCGTTGCCATCAGGCAAAGCTCCTCCAGCCCCCCCAGATTGCCTTTGCACCTCCTCATCCTCCTGTGCAAGGCC